GGGAGCCCGATGTGGGACTCGATCCCAGGACCCTGGGATCATGACCTGAGCCGAAGGCAGACGCTTAACGACTGAGCCACCCAGGCGCCCATGGTAAAGGTTTTATTATGGAGCCTTTTTATTTCTTCCTTAGTCTTGTTTTTTAGAGAAGTAGATTCTCCAAAATTATTTTCATTTTTCATATTATAGAGTGCGATATGAATTTGAAATGCATTTTTCTTAACAGTGAAAAAATATTACAGCTAAAATCATACCTTTTAATTATTTCTAAAAATCTTTACTACCTTTTTTTCCATTGTGGTTAAGTTCCATTGCTGATAACAGTAGTGATGATTTTCTACTGGAATTACCTGTCACTTTATCATACTTTCTAATTGTAAAATATAAAAAGGACTTTTTACAAACATAGAAATATTTAAAGAGAATTAATAGAAATCCCAGAAATAGGAGTTGGCAGTCATTTTGGAAGCATAGAATTTCCAGAATTGGAATAATTATACATTGTTTTGTGATATTTTGGGGGTATGGCAAACAGGTTTGTCTTTAAATGTCATCGAAGAACGTGTGTTTTAGTTCAAAGTCTTCTGATTGTTATAAATTACTTATCTTCTGGACTTTTGTTTGTACTTGAAGAGAACATAGAGATTTGTCTCATTCCTCTCATTTTCAGCGGCCTTTTTTCGTTAGATTATCTTGCAGTACAGTTAATTTTAAACTGCCCCTTGATCATATAAGCTTTTGCTCATGGTTAGATATTTGGTTTCAGTGTTTCCTCCTGGCAGAGAAATAAGGGATCTTTATACGGTAGTTGGTGCCATCCTCTCTTTGCTTTTCTGTATTTATCCATATGTTTGTATATACTTTTAATATTTATGCAGATAACTTTTCTGATGTTTTTTGGAAGTATATTTGTAAGGCGATCTATTTAAAACTATCCCGGGGCACCTGGGTGGCTCAGTCATTAAGCGTCTGCCTTAGGTTCAGGTCATGGTCCCGGGGTCCTGGGATCAAGCCCCGCATCGGGCTCCCTGCTAGGTGGAGAGCCTGCTTCTCCCTCTCACACTCCCCCTGCTTGTGTTCCCTCTCTCGCTGTGGCTCTGTCAAATAAATAAATAAAAATTAAAAAAAAAAAAAAAGGTTTTTTTAGCCTCTGATAACCTGTCAACAGTTGCCTTCGTCCACCCCAAGTGCATTGGCCTATTTTTAAACTCTCTCTTCAATCATTGGTCATCCTGTTATTTGGTTCCATAGTCGTCTTTCAATTCTGTCTGCCTTTTGTACGTTTTCTGAAACTTTGAGGATAGGGCAGGAACGGTGTTCCATGTGAATTTGCTGGTAAACCCAACTGGACATCATGGGTCGGGTGGGTCATGGTTTGCTTGCGGAGTTGCCCTGCAGTCCAGGTCCTCCCCCTGCCTGCGTCGCTTGTCCCCGCTCCTGGGTCTCCGTGTGCCTTGCTACTCGCGTCTGCGCTCGAGGTCTGTGTGCTCGTTCGTGTGGCGTGAGGTGTTCGAAGTTTGTTCCTTTTCGGACATTGTGTCGTCAATCCTGTAATTTTCCCAGAGCTGCTGTATTATTGCAGCCTTTCTTCTTCTGCTTCAAAAAATGGATTAACTGTTCTTTCAATTGGCTTGTGACTTTCTAGTTCAGGATTCTGAGTGTTTTCTGATTTCTTACCAAGCAATGCCTTTTTTGTACCTGAAAACTCTTTCATTTGCCCTATACTTTCTTTGTTGTTAACTCATTCTTGGAATTTATCTTTACCTATTTCTACTAAATAACAGTTTTGACCTAAAAATAATGCTCCATACCTTGATGCTCAAGGTCTTACTTAAAATGTGGGGAAAAGTGGGGCGCCTGGCTGGCTCAGTCGCTAAGAGCATGCAACTCCTGATCGCAGGCTTGTGAGTTCAGGCCCCACGTTGGGTGTAGAGGTTATTTTAAAAAAATAAAATCTTTAAAAGAAAAATGTGAGGAAAAGTTTGTCATTTAATTGGATATTGCAATATTGTGATTTTAAGATATGGTCATTCAGATGACCAAAATCTAGTTCTCATCTATACTTGGTCTTTGTCCAGTTCCTGGCTCAGAGCTCCCCAAACCCGTGGAATTTCTTGTGTTGGGAGTGATTAAGGTGTCTTTTGTTATGTTAATTAGGAGATTCTGGGCCATCTCCTAAGGAGGGTTAGTTGTCCAGAGATCCGGCCCTGTAATTAGAGGGTTGACCAGTCCTACCCCGACCTTGGGGGGGTGGGGGAGGGGCCTAGGGGCCGTAGGATTAATCAGTCACCAACGGCCACTATGTAATGGAGCCTCCATAAAAACCCGGGCAGAGCTCAGAGATTCTGGTTGATGAACACGTGGAGGTGCTGGGACAGTTGGTGCTCTCGGAGAGGGCAGAGAAGCTTCGCGCCCCTTCCCACATACCTTGTGCTATGCGTCTCTTCCATCTGGCTGTTCCTGACTTATATCCTTTTGTAATAAACAGTAACCCAGGGAGTAAAATGTTCTGAGTTCTGTGAGCTGATCTAGCAAATTAATGTAACGGAAGGAGGGAGGCCCGGGAAGCTCAGGTGTGTAGCCCGTTGTCAGAACCTGGACTTGGAGTTGGCATCCTCAGTCGGAGGGGGTCGCACTGGAAGCTGCAGTGTGTCGCCGGCTGCCGTCAGAAGCCCGGGGCATGTGACTGGTGTCTGATGGGGGGGCAGGGGGCGGTGTCCGGTAGGACTGACCCTCAGCCTGGGGCATCGGATGCGATCTGTGAATTCATACACACCCTGCTGGTGTCTGAGAATGGCTTCTGGTGTGGGCACGCCCCCCTCCCCCACCGCACACACTGAAATTGGGTCGGGGAACAGTTCAGATGTTAATCCACCTGCATTGTCGCCTTTGTGTGACAGAGTGGAAGGTCAGAGGTACTTCTTAATGACAGGACACATTCCGTGGGTCCTGGACTGTGAAAATACGTGTGGGCCTTGGTAACAAGCAAGAGGTTGCAGAAGCTTGGCCGGTTCTCTGCCTCACTTTCTCTGTTGTGCTTATATTATATGCCAGCACTGCTCTTCTTTCCTTCTTAGTGGAAGAGAAAGCCAGCACCCACCTCCTCCTTGGCATGTGCTTAGACACCTATGCTCGCTACCTTCTGTTCTCCAAGCAGCCGTCACAGGCACAGAGGATGTACGAAAAAGCTTTGCAGATTTCTGAAGAAATGCTAGGAGAAAGACACCCACAGGTAAGGGAGGAGAGCAGAGAGAGGAGCTATAAGACAAAGCTTTCAGAATTTCCGGGTGTGAGATGCCACACTCCCTGGGGACAGATGCTCAGCGGATGGTCCTAGCTGTTTCCCGTCCGCGCGCCCCGGCCCCTTCCTCTTCCCCCCGCCGCTCTCCCACCCCCAGCTACGTGCTTCAGAAAGACTCGGAGGGCCGCCTGTGGGCTCAGTACAGTGTGCGGCTCTTGATCTTGAGATCGAGAGTTTTGAGTCCCACATTGGGCGTAGGTAGAGATGACTTTCAAAACAAACAAACAAACAAAAATTAAAAAAAGAAAGGGTTTGAGACCTCGCATCAGTTACTGGGTCTGTCCAGAGCATTCTGCGTGCATACTGGTTTACACTGCAGAGCAGCCTTTCCGAACAGGAGGTCTCACCAGGCACCGGGTGCTTCTCGGCCCTCCGGGTACACGGCCACAGCGTTTTGGAATCCTGAATCTCAGTAAGAATCTTAGGAGGAACAGGGTATACGTAAAGGTTCTTGCCTCCCTCGTCCCACAGGTGAAGTGCCACGGGAAGTGGGGAAGGGAGGGAGAGAGGGACTTCACTGAAAAGTCAAAACCACTGACCAAGAATTTAACCACACTGTGCAGAACTCTCTATTACAGCAGAAAACGTGTTGAACTGAAATCTTTGTGTTTCTCCTCTATCACATTAAATTTTTAGGGGTGGGAACTGGATTGCTTTTCTCTGAGATGCTTGGTATCCCCAGCGTAGGACACAGAAATTTTATTTTATTTATTTATTTATTTTTATTTTTATTTTTTTAAAGATTTTTATTTATTTATTTGACACAGAGAAATAGCGAGAGCAGGAACACAAGCAGGGGGAGTGGGAGAGGGAGAAGCAGGCTTCCTGCCGAGCAGGGA